ATTTACCTATAAGTGACCTATCAATGTGCCCTCCACAAATGTGTTCTTTCATAACTACTGTTGGACAAGCTTTATGGAACTTCCCATTCAACCTGATGAGTTTAGGTTCTCTACGTAACATTGAACATCCAGTTTAAATTGCTAAACTACCAAGTTAGGCTATGTTGTTGTAGCTGATCAATATGAGGCAGGGAGGAATGACAACATCTGCCACCATTCTAGCATTAATGAATTACACACTCTATATTTCTATATTTTGACAAAAACACAATTTATCTTTATGTTGAACAAAGTTTTTGTCAGCATTCCGTAAAGCTCAAAATCAGGAATAATCAAAAAACTTTAATTCCTTTATATTGTCACCAAATAAGTGAACGCAGTCCATAATTTTCAAGCCATTACTCAAAAAATTTCAAACCATCTGTCTAACAATTGCTAAATGTTACAGTGCTGCTAAATAGGAGAGAGGTGCTGTCAGAATTAGCTTAGCTAGCATGATAACAGCACAGCTCACTTCAGAAAATGTTTGATTCTGGCTAACTAAAGCACTGACACATGTTTGTGATAATGACTGAAATCTGAGGAAGTGAAATCGACCAGTTGCTGTTGAAGAGAGAGAAAGTTGAAATTAAACCTGTTCTGTGGTGTTTGGATCAGTAGCCTGATTCAATACCTCAAAAGTGAACTCCACTGATTTTTCTAAATTTCTGCGTAATCAAATAATTAACATGCCAACAACATCATTCTGAGCAGTGTGGTGTGAAATGCTCTGTCTTTAGAGAAACCTCCTGAGTCAGAATTGTTCATAGTGTTGGTGATAGGAACCAGATGTCTGAAGTGTTTAATGCTTCTAAATGCTCCCTCCCAAAAAGGTTTTACATGAAATGTTAATGAACACACTGCCTGATGTTTGAGACATTGTATTAGAGAATTTTGTGATGAAGCTTATAGTGTTTTAAAGTTGTTACTGTTATTTGATCCATTTATTTTAGTCCATTATGGTGGAAGGATACAAGAATGGTATTCTAAGGCAAAATGCTCCCTGAATAAAACTTATTTCTTCTGATTTTCCACTATTTTACCATCATTAACATTACATACGTGAACTCAGAAGACACATGTCGGTTCACTGGTCATTTTGGACAGTAAATAAACTGGCTATAATTGCATTGTAGACATTGGGACCCCTGGTTCCTATCACTTTAAGTTTATTTATTAGAATCCTTTTGACGGCAGACCTCTCTGAATGACTGTTTATATCTCAACCACTACATTATGCCGAAATTTAGAAAATCTGTGGAATTCCCCTTTAATGTTAGCTTAGAGAGCAGGCTACAGATCCAAACAGTGCCACACACCACAGTGTACAGGCCTGTTTCTGACTAACTGGTGCTCTGCTTAAACAAGTGTAGATGATAAAAACTAATGTCTGAGAGAGTAAAAGTCAAGCAAATGGTATGTTGAAGTGACAGAAAGCTGAAATCAAACCTGTTTCATTGGTGCTCAAGACTGCTTTTTGGCTAATCTAACGACAGGTTCATTATCAGGCCAAACGTGCCCCGCACCACAGCACAGGCTTGGTTCCAGCTAACTAAAGCTAAAGTAACACCCGATTAGAGGATATCAGAGAGAGAGCAAAAGTGAAGTAACTGGTGTTGGAGTGACAGAAAGCTGAAATAGAAAGCTGCCATGTGGTATTTGGGACTGTTACATTTTGGCTAAACTAATGATGGCTTTGTTAGCAAACCAAACCTGCCACATACCACAGCACAGGCTGGGTGCCAGCAAACTGATGCTAAAATGAGACTCATTTAGAGGATATCTAAGACACTGTTTACACCTGGTCGCTTCATGCTTCAGAGTTATATCTGGATAAGGCCACGCCACATAACAATGCAAGTGTAAAGGCACCCAAGACACATTTAAAACAGATACAAATCAGATCAAATACAGAAATGATTGCTCAGACCACTTCAGGAGTTGGTCAGAGCGACATATTATAGCAGTGTAAAAGCATCCATCTGTCCGAGATGCATTCAGCGACCAAAACTTGTTTCAGTACAAGCAAAACTCCTCCCCATGCAGTATGTTACTGGGCATGTGATCCGTGTCTGTGAGGAAGAAAGTCATGGAGGACGCACATGGTTGGGGACCCGACGAAACAAAATGCTTAATAGCAATATGGGCAGACAAAACAACAACTGTGCAAAACAACAACAGAACAATTGTTTTATTGTCTTTTGGCCTACATGTTGACACTTACGTTATCATAAAATATTAGAACATCTCAATTCCATCCCCACCTCCGCTTTCCCTCCGCAGGGTGTGTTGATGGATTACAGAATTTACATTGAGGACAGTACGCAGAAGAAAATATATAGCTTTATAAAAACAAAAGAACAAAAAATACACAAATGTACATGTGGGTTAATAGACAAGAATTCTTTTAAAATGAAAATAAACAAATAAATAAAACCAAGAACCAAGAGTCCATGCCTCTGTAGGCAAAGGGTCTGAGGCTGAGACTAACCTAGTGTCAACCTTGTCTAACAGTTGCTACAAAAGAATGGATTTTTGTCCCCTCAATGAGGTTAAAATCAAGTACATACACATTTGTGTTACCCCCCAGCATACACAGTCCCACACCTATAAAGAGTAGGACATCAGTGAAGCTCTTCCCAAGCTAGAATGTATAGAAAGAGCAGAAAGGGCAGCTAAAACAGTGTCATCCGTCCCAGCGGGCAGTGCGGGGGACATTCAGCTGCGGCCTGTGCTGATTTATGACAGTGTTTGCACTTTCACTCTTTACCTGTGTCTCCGCCCCTCCTGTGGAGGTCACCTCTACACATATGTTGGCCTTCTGTCTGTACTCTACCTTCCACCGTCAAGCATGCGCTGAATGTCTGAGCATGTATCACACCTCAGACTGTGAAAATAAACACTTTGAAGATATCAGAAGACATGGAAAGGCATCAGAAAGACGTTGGCTACTGTAGAAAAAGAAACATCAGTCGTTGACTGTAGTAGGACATCGAAAGAAATTAGAAAGTTTTGTGCCCTTTGTGCCCCATATACACTGGCCATCATCTGGCCCTTCATCAGTGGTCAGTGTCTAACCACAGAAACACTCTTGTGTGAATATATTTAGTGGTGAACCACTCTCAAGCTGTCCATTACCATAATAATAGCTGGATACTAGTGTTCCAGTTGTCCAGTCATTAATGTGGTAGACGGCAGCCAATAAACCGTGCATGACATCAGGTGGGCTACAGTGAGAATGGTTCTAGTTCTAGTTTACTTTCCACCTACTTGAGAGACAGCTTGAATCAAATAACCGTGATTATCTTTTTTATTGTCTTTCTGATGATTGTATTCCACCCTAAAGCATCTAATTTGGCTAATTAACTACCTTACTTGCTAGTCATAATTACTTTAATTTATGGCTAATATGAAGCAATTTACTGCACTGATCTGCGATCACACACACACAAATGTATAAAATTACACAGATTTATCTAGAGTTAAGCAACGCTTATATTTTTCTCTGCTCAGTGTAAAAATATGAGTAAAAACGCCCATTCCTTGGAGGCTAGCATGAACACTAATGACATTAGCCTTAGATTAAATAGTTTAAACTAGCTTACTTAGCAAACTGTTTACAAAGTAATAATTCTAAAAAGACAGCAACTGACACATCAACATACCATCCTAGTTTACTTTCTGGTGCCTTTGTAGGTCATAGTGTAATAGTGATTGGTGACTTTACAGTCACCTGAAAGCTGCAAGTGTTACCAAAGACAGAGTAAAACTCCCTCAAGTCTTGTTTGTACCAATCTTGAACATTTACAAAAAAAACACAAAACCAGAATCTTTGATAATGGACCAGTGGCCAATAGAAAACACACAGTTACAGTTTTCTGGTGTCAAAGTTTTCAGAGCTTTGTGCCATGGAAAAACACCCTAATTGTACACTTCCAATATATGGCCAAAATTATGTGAACACTCATTGCTAACAGATGTGTAAAATCAAGCACATAGCCATACAATCTCCACAGATAAACACTGGCAGTAAAATGTGTTGCACTGAAGAGCGCCGTGACTTTAAATGTGGCACTGTCATAGGATGCCACCTGTGCTGCAAGTCAGTTTGTGGAATTTCTGTCCTGGTAGTTCTGCCCTGGTCAACTATAAATGGTATCATTGTAAAAAAAAATAAAAGTTTGGTGGAGGAGAGATAATAGGCTGTTTTTCAGGATTTGGACATGGCCCCTTAGTTGCAGTGAAGTGTAATGTTAGTACTGCAGCATACAAAGACATTTTAGACAATTATACACTTTCAGTTTTGGCAAAAGTTTAGGAAATGCCTTTTGCTCCAGCATGACTGCACCCCTATTCACAAAGTAAGGTCCATAAAGAGATAGTTTGATGAGTTTGGTGTGGAGGAACACCAGTGGCCTACACAGAGCGCTGACTTTAAACTGACTGAACACCTTCGCAACATCAATTGTGAGTCAGCCCTCTCGTCCAACATCAGTGTCTGACCTCACAAGTGCTCTTTTGACTGAATGGGCACAAATTCCCACAGACACACTCCGAAATCTTGTGGAAAGCCTTTCCAGAAGGGGGCCTGTTGTAGCCTCATAAAGGGGCAAACTCCATATTAATGCCCTTGATTTTGGAATAAGATGTCCAACAAGCTCGCATTGGTGTGATGGTCAGGTATCCACATATTTTTGGCTATATATTGTATATAGTGGACCTGTAATGTAGATGGACCTCAAAGTGGCCAGTGAGTACAAGTATTTGAAATAGTAGATTCTGAATATACAGATTTACAGATACAGTATATTGAAATTAAAATGTGTTTTGGAATATTCATTGTTGGTTACGTTACCTTGTTTATAACTTTCTGCATTTAATTCTTTATAAACAATGTTAACGTGGATGATATTGACACACAAACCACAACCTTACGCTAACCTGGTCATCTTCACATGCAGAGTCATTGGAGCCCACATATCAGCAGCTGCAGAAGATGAAGCTGGACAAAAGCCCATTCGTGGTGGTGTCCGTAATCGGCCAGGAGCTGCTGACCGCCTCCCACCATGGTGCCTCAGTGGTGGTCTTGGAGGCAGCACTAAAGATTGGCACCTGCAGCCTGAAGCTGCGTGGCTCCGTTTTCTCCGCCCTCAGCAGTGCCTACTGGTCACTGGGCAACACGGAGAAAAGTACCGCCTACATGCAGCAAGATCTGGAGGTGGCCAAGACTTTAGGTGAGTGCACCCCGGAATCTAACTCTGGTTAGTAACCATGATCTTAGTGTATGGAAACTGGACTCAACAGCTTTCGTTAATTTTTACCAATGCTGGGATTTTACACTGGTATAACTGAGTATAATGTAGCTAACAAGTAATAGAAGTTTATAGATTATTCCCCACTAATTATTATCATGCAAACTGCATACCCAAAACACACTGGCCTCAAACTGTGTTAAGATGATAAAGCGGAGTTCATTTTACAAAATTTTAGCATACGTAATTGTTGAGATGTTAAGTTATTCAGAGTGTTTTAATTTGAAATATTTTATTGTGTAGAAACCTATTAGTTTGGATCTTTTTTACAGTGGTGGTGATAGGAATCAGTCATCACGATGTCTAAAAGCAAACACTGCCATTTTATTTGCTGTCCAAAATGACCAATGAACCTACATGTCTTCTCAGTTTTGTAATGTAATGTTGACAGTGGTAAACTGGTGGTAACGCAACACACTGCCTATACCTCTCTGCCATGAATGCCTTTAAAAAAATGGTTTACAACAAAATCTTTTCTCAAAACTATCATAAAATTAAAGGCACCAGGCAGCAACCAAGCTTTCTTTAAGGGAATAAAGTCTTCAGAAGTCTGGTCCCTCTCACTACCATTGTGAATTATTCTGGCCCTGTAAGTTTTTAAACAAAGGCACTCTTCATATCAAACCTCTGAATGACTTGTTTACATGTTAATGATTGAATTATGCAGACATTTTAATAGAATTCTCTTTCAAGTAATCTCAAACAGACTTGCTTATGTTGTCTCTGACACTGAATGACATATTGTTATCTATAAAAATGGAAAAATATGTCACATACCTGAAAACAGTTGTACCAGCAATCTTTTAGAGTAAGAGAAAATTTTCATTAGCTTATCCTTCAACTGTTAAGTGTCCACTAAGGGCATTCATATCTGCCTTGTTTGGTGCAGACCTTTCGAACCTTTTCGTTATGACAGTTGTGAACACTCTTATCTGTACTCAGGTGCGCACTGAATCAACCAAGGTACAGCAAAAATTGCGAGTCTCGGTTTGCTTGTACATGAAGGTTCAGTTCGCTGCTGGTGGGAACACATTTTTGTGATGGTCTGCACCAAACGAGGGAAATCAGCATCAGAGCATGCTTTTCTGTTTCTTCTAGAAATATGGTAGCTGTGTGTGATTTATTGAGTCAAATTTGCAGTCTTTTTTGAACAGCTGAAGTGTCTCAGTGAGTAGTTGAATTACGAGATCTTGAAGTATCCTGATGTAATATTTTTACAATACCGCCCTTCCCTACTTGTATCCCTGCAAAATTACTGACTAATAAACAAGCACACACGCGTGTAACATGGTGCTCTTTTGCCATTATAGTGTAAAACGAAATGAACCAAATGAAAAAAAATGTCACGAAAACTCAAGCACTGGTTCAAGCTTAATCAAAAGTAGGCGTGAAAACAGCCTTAGTCTCCGTATGACTAAGAGTGAGTGAATGTAGCTGCTTTTGTTAGGCGAGGCTTGGCTGAAGAAAATAATGCTTACCCTTGAGAGACGCTGTGCAAGCCATCGACAGAAAGGAAGAATTGGTGAATTAATGTACTTTTTGAGCTAGCCCCTCCGTTAGCACAGGATGAGAGTCACGATTCTGACCTTGAGCTCTTGGAAACAGTTCGCTACCTCTTCCTGGTTCTAGTAGTTCTACACCTTTTTCTTGAAGCTAATTAATTTGACCCGCATGAGCCAGTTTTAATTATGTTCTGTCGTAATTAAGTTAAATCTTACTCGTGCCTAATTAGTTATTTTTTCCATAAATATATATTAGTAGATATGGTAACACCAGTAACACCTTTGACCTTCAGCACAGGAGGAAGTGCATCTCATAAAGTATACATATAACATAGAGTGCGCTCCCACCAGGAATACAACATCATAAATATTCACCACGCGCTCCGCATGTCAGTCTTATAGGCCAGCTTTGTTGAGACATGAAAGGTTTTCACAGTTTGAGCACGGCACTCTCCAGCGTCCGCCTCCTCTTTCCCGCATCTACGCGGCTGCTGAACCGTGCAAACGTGCGTATGTGTGTGTGAGCTGTGGTTCAGCTCACACGTTTAACACATTACAGAACAGTTCTGGAGATCGGCTGAGGGGTCTGCTCTCTTGAGTGAGCAGTCAGCGTGAAGGAAGTTGTGTTACTGTTCGGCACTGTTTGCCTGAAGACTGCACATACAGACGGGTGACAATTTAAGGAAAAACCTCAATAAACGAGTGAAGGAAGGTAACAAGTGCAGATGCTTCCAGACAGATGTACTTAATTTTAGAAATGAACAGTTACCATGTGTTATACGTATATATAAAAAAGCTCAGCAGGCTCAGCTGACCTAGATTTTGGATCAAGTTTGAAAAGGAAAAGATCTTAGTGACTTTGAAAGAAGGTTCGTTACTGGGGCACGGATGGCAGAAGCTTCAGTAACAAAGACAGCTCAACTGGCTAGTGGTTCAGTGGGAACTGTGACTAAAGTGGCATCTACATTTTAGATCTATGGGAAAGTAAATCGGGTTGGAAACTGTAGTTGAAAGTGCAAATGTTTTGATCGTGATACTTGTTCAGTTGTGTGATATGTAAGGGAAAAACAGAAGAGCAGCCGTTCTTCAAGTTACTGAGAATAACAGTGTGGGACGTGATCAGACTGTGTCAGCAAGTACAGTCCATCCACAACTCCATATAGGGGGATTTTGTAGTGGGGCTGCAGTGCATAAACCCCTCATTACAAAGACAAAAACACTTTTGAGACCTCAGTTGTGCTAAAACCACACGCCCTGATCTACAGAGAAGGGGAAAGTAGTAGGATGATGCAATGAGCCATCCTTCAACAAATTCTCCACAAGTGGGTGAGTGCATGTGTGGCGTACACCAAGAGAACAATACAGACCTAAACGCCTCAAACAGTGATTGGATCCCCTCACTGTAGGCTGATAAACACATATGCAATGGACTACAGAGGTGTGGAAAAAAGTAATATGGTCAGCTATCTGTCATCTGAGTTATCTGTCATCATACTCCTCCACAAGTAGACGAGTGCATGTGTGGTGTACACCAAGAGCAGTACTGGCCTCCTGACTCTTACAGTGAGGGAGTCAAACCACAATTCTAGATGAGTTTTTCTGGATGAAGGTATTCATGTAATCCAACGAAAGTAAGTACTTTGTTGCATTTTACTTAAAATAATGCAGCCAAAGAGTTAATGGTTAAATTAAATATGTTTTTAATATATTGCAAAGCCTTTCGCAGTATTTAGCCATATAATCAGATTGATCTCAAGAAACTGCCTGAAACTATGTCCATAGATATTTAAGTGTCAGTCATCATGCAGATAAAGATATTTTTAAATAATTCAGTAAGCCAGTTTGAGCTCTGTAGGATACATCAAAAAGTTAAATTATTTATTTCTTTTTAAACATTTTTTTTACCCTAATTCCTATCACCGCAACACCCACATATGTTTACACCCACATATACATTACTGAAATGTATAATCTTTTTGCTATTTTTAATTTAAAAAGATGAGTTTGTATTACTTCTAATGGTTGAATCTCTTTACTTCAATATTTTTTTATGTAAACTGTAAGGAAGTGGACCAAAAGAACAAAATGTTTGGGGCACAAGTGACAAGAAAAACCTCAATGGCTGTCAGTGTGTTACAGTAATAAGATAAAATTGCAGAATACTATAATTTGTTAACTGCATATGTTTGAAAAAATAGCTTTAAAGCACTTAGTCTGACAATAGTATGCAAAATACAAAAAGAAAAGTTGGGAAAATCATTATTTACACATTTATCTTCAAATTACAGTGTTGCATTAATAACAATTTAGTCACCTAAAACTGGAGAAAGTTACTAATAATGTAGAAGTTAAAATCAGTTAAATCATTCAGGTTTTTTTTTAATCATTTGAATCAGCATCAAAAAATAAAAATAGTAAGTTATTTTAATTTTTTCCATGTTCCCAGCATTCCACCATTTGTTAAAGGTGGTCAAACAATGGTATGTGTCAGTGTCACACAAGAGCTTCTGCAGATGTCCAGGGAGCTGGGAACCTTACTTGACTGCAATGATGTCAGTGCTGTGTTATCTTCTAATGGGGGGCTCCTGGATAGCTGTGTTCACTTTTCATACACAGCACAACTGAACTTATGACCTAGGGCAAGGTTCCTCTAATCCAGCCTTGAAGAAACACAGCACTTGAAATGTTTTGTGTTTTCCTGTGCTGACACAGCTGATTCAGCTCAACAGCCAGCTGCCAGATTCTTTCATGTAGTGTGACACATCAGAGAAACGCTAAACTTTGTAATGTGTTGGTGTCTACAAGACTGGGGTTGGAAACCTGCAATCTAGAGCCAAAACTCCATATCAGACTGTGAAAGGAAATTCCTTATCCATCAAGCAATAATCTCATCATGTGGAAACTAGGGATGCAGTGAAATGGGAATTCTGGGCCAGTGCCCAGATCTGATATTTATCTGCCAACGCCGATAGCTAAACATTTATAAAATGTAGAAATTGAAACTAGATCCACCTGGATTAGCATTACAGAGAAATGTAACACTTCTATAGAGGGTTAAAAATTCAGTAAAATTAATAAAATACTACGTTTTAGGTCGCTGAATACAGAGCTTTTGGAAAATGCTCAGTTTTCTGTTTTCATGTGGTTGGATGTCTTTGAAAGTGTTGACATCACATGCATGTTTACTGCTATTTAACAAGTGGTGAACATGTTTTATGGTCCTGCATGTCTGACAATGTCTGATTACAGGGCTGCTTCTATATGTTCATACTAGGGGTGGGAATCTCTAGGCACCTCACGATTCGATTCGATTACGATTCAGAGGGCTGCGATAAAAAGATTATCGATGCATCTCAATGCATCTTTTTTTTCTATACAGGATTTCTTTTTTCTCACTGAGTGAGGTCATTTTAAAGCAAAGTATCTGTAATGATCCATAATGAATTTACTTCCAATATCTTTTATTAATAAAACAAATGGAAGTGATGTGGCAAGTCAACTGGAAGACTCTCGTTCACTGCTCTTGTTTGGAGCACGTGAGATGCAGGCTGCCACTCATCTGCGATAAAATGCGCCGTTATGGTGACTTAAGATTTTGCGGCAGTGGGTGTCCATGCAGCAGATTACAGCGATTCTACCCGTTATCTTCCGTGATTTCATAACTTCGGTTTTGGTCTAGTTGTAGAGAGTGGGGGAGGTGTAACTGTGTCAGAGAATGGCCGGAAACATGTAATATGCTCCACAGAAGCCAAAGTGCTTCCATGCGCTAGCTCAGGGGTCGGCAACCTGCGACTCTTTTACTGGCCTGGTGTGGCTCTGCATCAGTTAGATTTCTAGGTAAAAATAAATAAATCCTCATTTGCAGTAAAATAAAGCTCTGCTGATCGTTCAAACACAGTTTCAACAATAAATGATCTTAAACGCTGGAATTAATATAGCCTATAACTGCTAGTTCACCTAGCTAGTAACGTTAGCTAACGAAAAGGCAAAGAGAAAGATTTAAGACGAACATCCATTATTTAGAGACGAATAGTCTTATTTGCATTTATAAATCACTCCAGCTGGTTTCCTGATACATTTAATCTGCAATGAGAAACTGTCAAACACTAAAAACACATTAAACTGAAGTCAGTTTCTTGTTCTCCAGCGTCTCATTCGAATTATCCTGTTCCAGCAGTTACATTCTGGCGCCTCAGGCACCATTTAAGGTGGAACGGCAAAATTCAAACAGGAAACGCGGATGAATGAGAAGCAACTTCACCTTCGTAAAAAGTAGAACATTGAGAGACATTTTACAAGAAACTGTTCTTTTATTGGAAAGTTCCAGCTGGTGATGCAAGAAAAGCGGCTACAGCTGAGCTAAAGCTTAAAGCAGAGCAAATTAGTCTGCGTTTTTGTTTGTATTATATTTTTAGCCTACACTAGGACGTTAGCACGTGCTGAGACACACGTACAGCCAAGATGGTAAAATGGACTCAAAATGTTGTGGCTCCCAAGGTGGTTTGATTTTTGTTGAAAGGGCAAAATGACTCTTATTAACATTTGGGTTGCGACCCCTGCACTAGCTTTTAATGTGGTGTGCACGCCACAGACTGTCCAGGCACTGCACTTCTGCACTTTGCAAAGTTCCGCCTTTTGCGTCCCATTAGCATTACGTTATCAATTAAAATTTAGAAAATCGATTTTTGACATTTGTGAATCGATGCGGAATCGTCTACGTCTGCATCGCGATGCATCTAAAAATCTATTTTTTCCCCCCACCCCTAGTTTGTACAGATGGGCAATATGGCAAAATGTAATATCACAATACTTTAGAAATACACAAGGTGTCATGATATTTATTTTTTCTGACATCTGATAAGTTACAACAGAAAAATAGTGCCGCATTTTAAAATTACTAACAAACACCATAACTCTTATTCAACATTTCACACACTGCGCTGCAATAAATCCAATTAAACAGGACTAATTATGCTCTCTTTTTAATCAAATGTGCAGCTGCTGAAAAGTGTTTTTTAAGTACTCATGATTTTGATGATGTACTTTAAAAAAATATATATATATATCACAATAACTATAAATCGTCATATTGCCCAGCTCTATGTGCTCGCTTATATCAGGATTGATTACATGATGTTACTGACCGCACAAACTAATTCATTTATACTTACTTTATAATTAGAGAAGATATTATTGGAATAGCAATGTGAGATTCTTGTGCAATCAAACTACCTCTATAATAGTTTGTGGATTGCCATGTAAAATTTTGTTTATGCTTTATTCTTTTGTTTCTGCACCTTTCACACAGAGCAAAATAGTATTTATAAGGGCATTGCAGAAAGCCTCCTGTGGCACTGTTGATCTTGATCAAGTATGATTAAGAAGATAGGATAGGTGTTATATGTCTGAAAAAGCATTGCGAATGACATGAAATATTTAGTTATCGACAGACCACTGGCCGCATCTTTTCTTTTGCTGAGTAATTGATTATTTGTAGCCATAACAAACTGATTAATTGATTATGGAAATCATTGTTAGTTGCAGCCCTACAGTAAATGGATAATCAAATATTGATTAAAAGTACTGGTCAAATCTAAACATTTGTCCGATGCCATTGTTGATATAATTATGCATCAAATGGGTAAGAGGTATACAAATACGTATGATGATAAAATTACAAGTGTTAGAATAGATTATAACCAATTATAATATTTTGTAAAGTAAATTATTTTTTAGCCAGTTTTTAATTGAAAAATCCTCCAAAAAACTTGTTCTGTTGTGTTTGTATTGCTTTTACTCTGTAAATAATTTCTCTAATCACATTTGCAGAATATATATATATATATATATATATATATATATATATATATATATATATATATATATATATATAGTTCAACTGTACCAAATACAAAAACAAATTGAATCGTGGTGGAATTTGAGATTTCGCTGAATGATTTCCTGAAGTAGATTAATGTGAATTCAGAAGGATTTTTAGATTTGTCGATCTAAAAAGGCTGTCATTGAGATGGCAGTTGCATAGGTGTGTGACTGGAGCCAGGCCTGTGTGTGTCATCTGCTGACGCCACCCCATTGATTCTTCCAGGTGACCAGACGGGCGAGTGCAGGGCCCACGGGAACCTGGGGTCAGCCTTCTTCTCCAAGGGCAATTACCGCGAGGCCCTGACCAACCACAGACACCAGCTCGTCCTGGCCATGAAGCTCAAGGACAGAGAGGTAAACGGCTGTGTGTGTGTCTGTTTGTGTGTGTAGGTGTCTTTGTGTCAGTTCCCCCCCTAAAAGAAGTCCTTGCCATATTGTTTTATCAGCGGACTGCAGTTTGTACTGTGGGAGTGACAAATGTTATTGTCAAATCCTTCATTTGGTCTACTGGCCGTCAGGTTTTTGGCCTCACTCTCAGTCTGGCTCTGGGCACCGCCTGCTCTTCTCCCTGCACCTCTGTCCACTCTGCTTCACACACTCGGAGCACCCACTCCTGAGGCTGCAACGATTAGTTGTTAAACTTCAATTATGACAAAATGGCATGGATTTTTATTGTTGATGCGTCATTTACTTTAAAAAAAAAGCGTAATGCTCTATAGTGTTCATATCTAGGATGGTACTCAAGGGCATTGTGACAAATTACAGTACACTACAATACAGGAACAGAATGGGGATGATATAGTTTCTGTTTTGTAGCAACATAAATTGCAATCATTTGGTGTTTTTCTTTTAATATCTTGTTTTCATTTGAGGAAGCATTTATTCATTCATTCATTCATTCGTTCATTCATTTATTCCTTGATATTAGCTCTGTAGCAACAGGACAGTATTAGTATTAATAAAACTGAAAGCAGGGCTGTCAAATGATTAAAATAATTCATGTTTGTCGTATTTGCTGAAAAGGACCCCAAAGAAATAAGATTCATCATAATCTGTGTATTCATTTCAAGAATTCAGTAACATGAAAGTCAAATGATTTCCATAGGGTGGACACAGTTTTCAGTACCAGTGAGAACAACAGTGAGTGCATTTATGTGCATTAATAATCTGTTCATGATCAGATTTCTGCATTTACATGATTATTCAAATAGTTATGTAAACAGTATACTCTGATTTCTTAGATCAGAGTAAGGTCTAGAAATCTAATTAAGAAATCCCATAAAGAGAGGTGGATTTTAGCTTAGTAATCAGATTTCTCAGCACATATATGCTCTTACTCTGATTTCTTTCGGATTTCTCAGTCTCCGCATGAGCGAAAAGAGACTGTGGTACTGAAAATAAGCAGCAGCGTTTAACACAGCGAGATGGCAACAGAAACACCGATGGACAGAGATCTAAAATGCTTTAAATGCAGGGGTGTGGCTAAAATAAGCCTCTGCCTATGTACCAAAACTGTGTGTTTCAGTAGTGACATTAAAACGTGGGACAGCATTTTTTTAATAAACTCATGATACATTTAAATCTTTCAACTTTCCTTTTTAAATATTATTTTAAAGTAATTTTAAGTATTCATTTCACAAGTTGAAATTCAGCGGTAGGGTTTGGGACAGACACCTCCCAACAGAAAACACCGTATAAATGATGATTTTGTATATATCTATCCTGATACTTTCTCAGTTAATCCCTTGGGTTTAAATAGATCATAACACAATCGTTTCAGATATCTCAAGTCTGAACATTTTTTTAATTTTTTAAAACAGCTTTTTTACTGTGGAATTACTTCAGTAGAATGATCCATATATGATAGATTCTTGTTACGGTGGCTCAAGGGGATCTGTAGCTTTCCCACTACTGTTGCTTTTGTTAGTTTGCTGCTGGTTGACTAATTCATAGTTCTCCCACGAGCACTGTCCAGTTTCATATTGTTTCACAAGCTGTGTGTAAGCTGTGTTACAATGAGAGGGCTACAATTGTAGATTTTGTTGTAGCAACATCAGGTGCACGAAAAACTGGACTTCAGGCTGGAACAGCGGATGGTTCAAAGGGTCAAATTATGGAAATATGGTCATGGCATTAGAAGAGTTAGCGATGTTGCTAATTTGTTTGTTATCAATGCATTGACTTTGACTGGACTAAAAAGAAACAGTAATAAGATACAAAGAAATATATAAATAGAAATAATTAGATCCAGCCATACCAACCCCCTACTCCCACGCACCTTTCACTGCTTTTGTGGAGTTGGAAAGCTGGATGGGACCCCTCCCCCTTCAGTTTGCAAGGGGTCTGCGTTGTGGCCAATTCTTGGCGCTTTCTCGAACACCAGGCCCCATTCACACATGGCAGCACACACTGGCACCAATTAATACCTCCCCCATCACACCGCTGCCTCTCCATGGCAGACGCTCAGCGCAACCTGCCAGCGCTGCTGCAGTGCATGCTGGGTAACGGGGGTTGTCAGATCTACGCTGCTGTTCTCTAGCTGCATAGTGGGAGAATGGATGGAGCAAATGAGGTAGATACAGCTTGCATGGCAGGAAGTGTGTGTGTGTGTATGTGTGTGTGTGTGTGTGTGTGTATGTGTGTGTGTGTGTGTGTGTGTGTGTGTGTGTGTTAAGAAATAGATAGATAAACTGCACCCCTCATCTCCTCCAGTTCGTCATTAGTCACTCCAGTCTTCAGAAGGTCACAGCGATGCTCATTGTGACTCTGCCTCCTCCAGCCATACTTTTGTCTCTTGTCCTTTATCACTGTGCGCAAGTAACTACCTCACCACGTACGCTGATCATTTGTCAATAAGGGTTTTTAGCGGAGGTACTTTTTTTGTGAGGGGGCTGGGAGTAGGTGGCAAAACTGAGCGTTAAGCAGACATACTAGACAGTAGAATTCTAATTTGTGATGTGACGTCCATATAGCTCTTGGTTGAATCTGAGTTTAAAAGAATACACCAAAATTTTTCAATCTGATCTCTGTCTGACACATCTGTATTATACTGTTGATTATCACAGACAACAATTTTAACACAGTTTCCTGTGCAAACCTAGTTCCAAAAAAAGCTGGGACAGTATGTGAAATGCCAATAAAAACAGAAAGCAGTGTTTAGTTAATTCTCTCTGTCCTGTATTTAATAAAAAATACAACAGAAACATTTTATGTATTACCTTTTGAGCATCATTGTAATTAATATATGCTCGTTACAAATATGATGCCCCCAACACATTCCAAAATGTTTGCACAGGAACACATTTACCACTGTGTTACCTCACCTTTCATTTTAACAACACGTTTGCAGATTGAAAACACAAACACATCCTTTTTTTGGAAGTGGATTTTTTTCTTCAGTTATACAAGCCTTCAGCTGCACAAACGTATGGAGCCTTTGTTGTCATATTGCACTTCATAATGCGCCACACATTTTCAATAGGAGACAGGCAGGCCAGACTAGTCAAGTCAAGTCAGTCAAGTCAAATTTATTTATATAGCATCTTTGCAACAGATGTTGTCACAAAGCAGCTTTACAAAGAATCCGGGTCCAAGCCCCCAGTGAGCAAGCCTTGGCGACAGTGGCAAGGAAAAACTCCCTCAAAAGGAGGAAGAAACCTTGAGAGGAACCAGACTCAAAAGGGGAACCCATCCTCCTCTGGTCGACACCGGATAAGAGGACAGACACAAAACAGTATAGTGGATACAGTTTAACACCACTGTGCAGTGCACCGGCCGCATCTCAGGTCAGACCCTCTTAGGACGGGCAGCCGCTCAGCTCAGGAAAAGAGAGGGGGAGGGGGAGGGGGAGGGGGGGGGTGGGGGGGGAGGGGGGATGAGAGGGACATAGTTAGAAAAACAAATTAACCGAAAGCTCGACTAAACAGGTACGTTTTTAGCCTAGACTTAAAGATAGAGGCTGTGTCTGAGTCCCGAACACAGACTGGTAGGCTGTTCCAAAGCTGGGGGGCTTTGTATGAAAAGGCTCTTCCCCCTGACGTAACTTTATTTATTCTGGGTACTAATAATGAGCCCGCACCTTGTGATCTAGCACCCGCACTTTCTAATTACACAGCCATACTGTCGTAATCTGCAGAATGTGGCTTGGCCTTGTCTTGTTGTAATAGGCTGGGATGTCCCTAAAAAAAATAGCACCTAAAAGGCAGCATATGTTGCTCCAAAATGTGTATATATCTTTCAGCATCAGTGGTGCTTTTACAGATGTGCAAGATACTCTCTCCCATACCATGACAGACTCTGGCTTTTTAACTTTACACTGGTAACAGTCTGGATAGTTCTTTACTTCTTCGGCCTGAAGAACACAACCTCCATTAATTCCATAAATCTGAAAGTTTGACTTGTCAGAGCATGTTTCCTCTGTACATCAGACCATTTCAGATGAGCTTGAATCCAGAGAAGGCGGCAGCATTTCTGGACGTTGTTGACATATGGCTTCCACAGTGCATAGTACAGTGTTAGCTTGCATTTGTAGACACAGCAGTTGACAACATTTTGTGAAAGTATTCCCAAGCCCATGTGTTGACATCTGCCCCAGAAGTATGTTGATTTTTAATGCAGTGCCATCCATGGGATCTAAGATCATAGGCATTCTGTTGTGGTCTTTGGCTTTGCTGTTTACGCACAGAGATTTCTCCAGATTCCCCAAATTTTTTGATAATATCATGCACTGTAGAGGGTGAAATACCTAAAATGCTCGCAAACACTCATTGATTAACATTGTTCTTAAACAGCTGGACTATGGGCTCCCGAGTGGTGCAACCGTCTAAGTGTTGGACCTCTCATCAGGAGATCGCAAGTTCGATCCCTGGTGATGCTACAGCCATCCGTAGCCGGGAGTCCAGGAGAGCACAATTGGCCTCGCTCTCTCTGGGTGGGTAGGATGGCCCCTCCTTCTCCCCCCATCACTTAATGTGATGCTAGTCAGTGCAGGCGTCTGTTAGCCGACATAACAGATCTGGCGGTTGGCGCTTTCCTCCGAGCGCATTAAGCTGTCCACTGACGTTGCGTGAGCGGCAGCTCGAAAAGAAGCGGTGGCGCTGATTGGGGGAGTCCTAACTAGCAGGTGGAATTGGCAACGACTAAATTGGGGAGATAATTGGGTTAAAATCCAAAAAAAAAAACAGCTGGACTATTTACTCATGTATTTTTGGCAAAGTGGCTTGCCTTACTCTTGCTCTTAAATTACTAGGCCTTTTCTAGATGCTTCTTTTATACCCAAACATTATTATGTCACCTCTTTTAAAATATTTAATGTTCACTTAACAACGTTGCTCATCTTAAATTGACCCTGTCCC